GTATTACTTACCAGGGTACGTGTACCATGACATGAACTCCAACTTCGATCCCAGCTGGAGAACTGCAACATCGTGATCCGAGAGCGACGGCACTGCATCGGGAGTGATGTCGATATTGGCTCCTGTGTAATAGCAGATTTGGACTACGTAAACATTGATGCTGTATAACACGAGATACTGCAACGTATCAATATCAAGACCAGTTTTGGGGGATATGTTCTTCCAATAACTCACAGGCAAAGCCAAGTAATCGTCGCCGCGGAAGCCTCGAATCCCGACGGTGCGAATACGGACCGCGAATCGCAGGAGAATTATGAAGACGCCGATGGCGTACCAGGCCTGCCAAGCAATACCCATTAGCTCCGGATGTGTCGATAGTAGGCCGGAGAAAAAAAGAGAAGAGCTTACCCAGACTTCGGGCAAATAGCTGTCGTCCTTTTCCAAGTGCACATTTGGACTTGGCTCCAGCATGATCTCGTGTTGATTGTGGCGAGCATCCGCATCTCGGTCGGTGGATGGCCAGTTACAATCGATGGGAAAGCTGTGGTGGAGTAAAGCGGGCAGACAGACGATTGAGAGGAACGATCCAAGGGCATCCCCCCTCACACATAAGGAAGAAAAAAGTAGCTCGTTGCAGTTCCGGGTTAACCCCCTCTCCGGCGATCCCAAGCCGAATAAGACAATGAGCATGGGGGATCTTGCGGGCGGGACAAAGAATAGCTTCCTTGCAAAGAAATCCAAATCGAGCAACGCTAATCGGGGGGCGCCCGGACAGAAACTCTAATTAGTGAGGTTGCCATTGGCACGTTGCTGCCACCGGCAGACGATCAAAGACCCAAGGAGCTTAGACTTGGGACGCGGCACTCGGACCTCTTCGATCTCAAATAGCAACATGGGTTTGAGAGTCATGGCATACTGGGGGTATTAGGCACTCTTCTTGAGGCTGAAGGTGCATTTTGACCGAGCCCGCCGTCTGGAGATGTGACCACCGGCTCGCCGGCTTTGTCCTTTCCGTCGTTGATCGATTGGGGATCGAGTTAGTGTAGATCGGGGGGATAGACCAGTCGCCCACATCACGGACCTTTCGGGACGCCACGTGGGAACCTCCCGAGTTGGTTTGCGTCCTTTCACATCAGGCTTGAACGATGACACGTTGAACTCTATTATTCTTGCACATGGGCAACTGCAGCCTCCTAGAGCTTTGAGAGAGGCGCTTTGCTTGAGCCCGATCTACCGTAGACGATGGTGAAGTTCCTCTCCAGTCTGTCTTGTGTACCAAGCTGCGGCTCATTTGAAGTCCCTGGAGTCGGTTTTCCAAACGTCTGAACACCACAGCGAGCTTGGTGGCGCGAGAAAACATCAAACGCTGCTCGACTTTCATCTCTTCGATAGTCCTCGTGTAGTAAGACGCCAACGAGCGCTTCTGCCACGGCCCAGAGGATGTGCCTTGCATCCCCAACGAGATCTGCTTGTGACTTTTCCATCAGGGAGGATTTGACTGCAGTCCACGAGTCTATCGGTCTCCATCCATTGGGCTCTCCTACCGCATTATTTTGGGCAAAGAAAGCATCGAGCGCGTCCATGGACTCTTGTCCTCCCTTTGGATGCTTCAACGCTCTCAAGAAGTCCGTTGCGAGGACATCCGTAGTGCCTTCCCATATCGACAGCACGCAGCAGTCGCGGTATAGCCTGGCGATGTTCAGATACTCGGTCTCTTCGTTCAGCATGTACCCGACACCTCCAAGAGCCTCCATGCAACTGTACAGCAGCGGGATCGACTTCTTGCAGACATATGCCTTGCAGAGCGGTGTCAGTATGCGCAAAAGAGGCGCAATGTGTTTCTCGTCTGGCGTGATCGCAGCCAGAGTATTCGATAGGCCGGATCTGTCCGCTTGAGGATTCTCGTCCAGTCCCAAAATGTATGCCGTGAAAAACGTCAGTAGCATGAGACCGTGATACTCCCCAGTCATCTCCGCCAAAGTCTGCATATGTAGCGGGCTTTCCGCCAAAAGCATCCGCTGACCCCTTCCTGCGCCGACTTGTCTGACTTTGGCGTACGCCCTCGCGATAGCCAGTCCTCGGCCCACGTATCCTACAGCACCCACGGCGGAGTGTATGCGCGTGAGCGTGAGAATGGTGCTAATCTCGTTGATGCCGCGGCCCTCTTGGCCCAGGAGCCACCCTCGCATGCCATCGAGCTCAAGCTCGGCCGTGGGAAGCGACTGTGTACCAGACTTGTTCTTGAGTCGTTGGATCCGGACACCGTTCAGCTCCGTTCCGGCGACGCCCTTGGGCCGTCCCGTCATTGTTACTGCCGTAGGGCTGTGTCGCCTCATTGGTGCGAAGAAGGCGCTGATGCCGCTTTGCGTCCTTGCGAGGAGGACGGTCATGGCTGAGTCGGTAGCGCTGGAGAACCACTTGAATCCGGAGATTGACCACGGGCCTAGAGGGATGTTCTCCGCCGCATTCGCGAGCGCCGGTTCCGAAGTTGAGATGTGCTGGGCCACTGTTTCGGTGAGAGACACATCGCTTCCGCCGGTACGCTCCGTCATCCACTGCCCGCTAGTCCAGGCAGTTGCTGGATCCCGTGACAGGAGATGTTGAAGCGCGTTCTCCAGGGCCTTTCGTTGCGTTGGTTCCATGTCTCTAGATAGGTGAAGCTGAAGCAGCCGAGCTGCACCATCTTGCATAGCCGATGGACAGGTGACATTCGAAGCAGAACTGCCCCACAGGTGAATCCTCAGGAACTGGACCACGCGGGCGGAGGAGCCGAGTGAAGCATCGTACCCTGTAGCGACGATGCCCTTCTTGATGCCGAAGTCTTGCAAGCTGCGCCAGCCTTCGCCAACGACCAGCTCGGATGTTGGCCGCCCAAAGGAGTCACGGCCGCTGCCCTTAAGGTACGGCTTGTTCTTCTCCGAGTCTGTGATCCAGGAAAAAATTTGGTCGGATAGCACGTCCTCGCCTAGTTGTGCAATGTCGACTTCGACACGCTCGATAATATCCTTTGGTAGGAATACTAGATAGGCTTAGCGACATGGGACGAAGAGAGTTCACTGGGTAAGGCACTTACGCCTCAAGGCCCTTTGAAAGCTGGCATCATCGAAGAATTGGTTCGGCAGAATCGGGAGTTCCTGGAAAAAGCCGGTATTCGAAGTGGATGGTTTCATGGCGGCGTATCTCGGACACTCAGATCTCTGGCAAACGGTCAAGATGGTTGAGAGGCTTAAAACACTTGAAGACTACCTTGAAGCTCCTAAATCCTCAGGTGAACTAGGAACAGGTGTATGGCCACAGAGCCCCAGATTCAAACCAAGATGTACCCCGGATTTTGGGCCATGTGAGACATCCGCGGGGCCGGTAATTTGTGGGGTTGCCGAGGGACCCCATAAAGCAGAAACCGACGATGGACCCACAAAGTGCCGAGAGAGTCCTGCCGGCCCCGAAAGCTGTCTCGGCCGAGTCTCTGCCGCGATTTCATCTCTGCGAAGCATCTCCATCCCATCTTCAATTGAAAGCCAAGCCTCCCGGTGGTCGGCCCAATAATGATACATCAAGCTGGATCCCACTGGCAAGCTCGGCACGGAAGCTCACATCGCTGGTCTTGGACAACATCATATCCGCAATCGAACGCGTGGAGGCGGTCCACTCACCGCCAGATCGAGCCGACAAGCCTCAATCTCACAAACTAGGACCATCGCCGGACATGCGCTTGGCCCTACGTAACAGCGAAGGGCCAGCTCTGCCTGCTTGCCTGCATTCTAGTAGAGGTAGCGTCGCTTAGCGCTCTCAGAGGCCTGCATGAAGATTAGCAACACCAGTACGACGAGACGATGGTACCAGAAGCAAGCGCAATGGTCCTGAAATCAATCACCAATGTCCGACCGGGCATCCAAAGCTAAGGCAGGAGAAATTGGTCTCATTTGCGGGTTGGGAGACAGCTCATGAGGCTTGCCGTGTGGCTGAAGCGGTGGTTGGGCGAGAACCGGGGGACGCCTCACTGTACATTTTTGGATGTGACTGTGACGTCACACTCACCTTGTTCGGTGAGTCCTGATTTTTTGGTGTCATCTTGGACAATTGAAACGACACGACGTTCATCAATGATCAGCCACATCTGGCCAAACATGTCGCAAGGCGCTGGCCGCGTGATGCCCCCCCTCAAAATGACACCCAAGCCTGCTTTCTTCCTTGCTGATCTTGGGGAGTCTGGAACCTGTTGAGCCACAGCGATCGCCACACACGTCGCAAGCCAATTCGAAGGGCGGCCTCTTGTAAGTCACATTCTGGACGATGCCGGAGTCCCGATGTTGCGCAAGTATTACTCATTCTTATGTCTACCAGTCCGAAGAAAGTACGACAGAGAATGCTTCCATCGGTCGATGAAGTCACGCTGTTTGGAATGCATTCTTCCAAGAGCCCCAAGCCGCGATGTGCTACAGCCTACACGACTCCTATCGTTTCCAACCGGAGTAGTTGGACCTAGTGGTCTCGGCCTTGTTAGCCTTGCAATTTACTTTCCTTTGCCCAGGAAGCCGTTGCATTGGCTGACGGCATTCGAAATTTCGCCAACTAACACCAATAAGCCTAACCGCCGGCCAAAAACCCAACAGTTATCTAAAGAAAAAAGCTCGACAAAGGGGCAATCACCGCGCTTCCTGCAGTGCAGGGCAAGGATCGTAAGTATCACGGCCCCGGGAAAAGGCTTGTTTCAAACTTCACGACCGGGGTGGTAGTCAACCACATCCTATCAGAGTCATGCTAGCCTGACAATGTATATTCCTCTGGCCATTCCAGCCCTGGTCTGATGACCTCACAGGGCTGGGCAGAGAGAGAATGAGAGAAAGCAAAGCCAACACGGACTCCCGACAGCGTGCCACGAAGCCCAAACCCCGGTGACGTTTCTTTTCTAGCCAGTCCCGCCCTTGTTCCCTCCCTCCCTTTTCTCGCGTGTGCTACGACGCCGGTAGAGGAGGAGCCTAAGAAGTATCGTATCTTGGCAGGGACTCTGCGCGTGTACCGCCGCCGTCCTGCAGCAAAGGTCTCGGGACTTGTGTAGTTACACATCTCTCCTGGTCAGACAAGCCCTTTCTTGTTGCCCTTTGCGAGATGTCGTTTGTCACAAAATGGGTAAGCCCAGCGGTTTAGTCAAAAAGTATCGGCACATCCAAGCCGTGATCCAGACGCATCTGCTGTGCTCGGCGGTGACGAGAAAGTCTGCAGACCCAGACCCCCAGGACCATGGCCTACCTACCTAACCCAAACCTGCTTTCCCACCAGATCGTCATCCTGATGTGACTCTCTCCCTACTGGTCCGTGTCAAACGACTCTTCTTCAGCCTATCCTGAGGAGAGGTTGATAAATAGAGTAATATCATCTCATACATTTCCCTTTCACTCTGATTCTTCATCCATCCGACAACAAGATCAGCAGACTTTTCTGTGCGACAAACCTCCCATCATCCCAAACCACTCCAAACTTCTCTCCTACCAGCTTCTAAGCTTGCAAAGAAACCGCCGTCACCAATCACAATGGCGATCGACCGTATTGTACAGTTCGTCCTCCGCGGAGCTCAGCTGGTGTTCGCTGCCATCGTGGCTGGTATCACCGGCGCCTACCTGCACGCGACCCAAAACACCTCGTCGTGGGACAATGGCCGGTACATCTACACCATCGTGGTGGCCAGCTTGTCGCTTCTCTTCGCCTTGATATGGCTCCTCCCCTTCTCGGGAAGCTTCATCCACTGGCCCATGGACATCTTCCTTAGCATCCTCTGGTTCGTCGCCTTTGGTCTGCTCGTCAACGTAAGTTCATCATTCACTGCCATTGTCCTACAAGTCAAATTCCCGATCAAAGCTAACATGCCATCTCCAGCTTGTCGGTGATGGCTGCGGTCCCATCTTTGACTGGAGCAACGTCAGCCCCCGCGGTGACGCCTGCGGTCGCAACAAGGCCAACATCGCCTTCTGCTTCCTGTCCGCCATCGTCTGGCTCGCCTCTGCCCTCGTCGGCCTCTTCTGGGTCCGTCGTCGCACCGCCGTCGCTGATAGCCGCCCCGCTCACACTGGCCGCCGCCGCTGGTACCGCTCTTCGCGCGTCTAGAGCAGCGCGTACGCGTACCATTCGGAATGCCTACACGGCTTTGATACCCTTGTCACACTGCTTCTCCTAGGCTTGTACAAGTCAAACGAGATCAAGTGACAAATCCCCATCGCCGCCTACTCATGGTGTCCTGTATCCACGTCCTTGATGGATGATGGAAGGGGGAAGGAGTTGGAGGACTCGTTATTTTTAACCCTTTCCTGTTTTGCTTTGTTTACGAACGTATGAGAGAATGGCTTGACTCTTCACTGGAAGACCTGATACCCGATAATACCCTACCTACTGTATCATATACCTACCTTAATATCACTGAATTACTTTCCCGCTACAAGCTGATTTATTTGCGAATCCTGTATTGACACGACCTTGTCTCATTGCGATGTGTCAAAGTGGCTAAGGACTCATTATGTGAGGCATTGTCACATGCTGCTTACCTTTTCCTGTCCCTTCTGTCAAACCTGTAGAAGATGGAAATGCTACTGACAACCACGAACATCTATACTGCGTCTTGTGGTGTGTTCCTCTCTCAGCTGGTTCTACGAACCGATCCCAGCGGGATGATGCCTATAATCGTTCCCACACAATCGGACTTTTACATAAACTTACACCTATGATGGATGTATGGATGTTTACACGTCTATCTACTGGTTGATACAGCCACAAGTCAAGCCACAACTTCCAGAAAGCATCCGAACAACCCCTGATAACCTTATTCCCGATTCAGAGTGTCTTATCAGTCTAGCATCACCACCCGATCCGGCTACCGACAGCCGGCGTGAGGGAAAAAAGCTCCGCGGTCTTGGCAAATAGGCGATCCGGGGCAAGTGGGGTCTGCCGTCGGGGCCGCAGCCCTAGGAAGCCCGGATGAGTGCCGCGACGTTTCGGGATGCTGACTGGCAACTGCAGCCCACTCTGAACGCTGGTATGAGGGCAATTCTATCAACGATCTCGTAGCATGGAATCACATATGGGCACATGTTGAAATGATGGATGTTTAGGAGCGGATTAATGAGCTCCAAGACAAATGCTCCGATACGTCTTCCCTTCTGAGGGTTCTTCTGCTGTATGAGGCATTTCCATTGGTATTGATTGACGCAATTTTGGTCTTGAGTAGTTTTTCCTTGGTCTTTCTGTCTTGGATGGATCTCTTGCGTTTCCGCAATGCTGTTAGATGCGTTGAGCAATCCGCCAACGCGACACAAGCTCCAAAAACGTGTTCAACGGCACAGAACCGTTTGACTTTCGATAAGACCGGTCTCGTTTCTTAGTCAACGGGGTTAGACGCTTGCTTGATAGACCAGTCCGCTTATGACGGCAAAGGCCATCTATCTTGGACTTTGGAGGTCTGCTCAGTAGTTTGCAAAGTTGACATCAAACCCTTAAGTCGTGAGATGTGCGGGATCGCCATCACTACTGCCAACCTTTCTGTCTCGAAAAGGCCTCAATTCAACCATGAAGGTGGGATCATCCGGCCCATGAATCTGCACCAGTTGTCGACTTCAAGCGAGCCTAAGCTCTTAGCACATTGCCGCTCCAATGGTAACACCACAGTGACAGCGGCCCAATCTCTAACACATGAGAGACAACACTGGTGCTAGGAGAAGTATCGGGATGTGGTGAGAGACATTTAAAACAGGCGATCGCGGACGCTAGATGTTAGAAGACGACTAACGCTCGTGAATGACGTAGTTTCTGGGCAAACTGGCAACGAAGGATCAGACAACGTGGGAAGACTAGGCAAAGAAGTGCCGCAGCGCCCATCTGAGGAATTCCGCAGAGATAGGTACTCCCAGAGAATGGGGAAAGTAGAACCGTTGGAAGCGAGATGAAGGGAAGCGGGCAAACCAGACTACCTAGCCAAGATCTCACCAACAGCGCGAAAGCCCAGCCTCGGTTACTGACCGCCTCCTGGGAGCCTGGGGTCTCTTCTCACCTCAACCTATGCACGCCGCGGCCACCGCTTTTGCCCGTTCCGAAAACAGACGTGTGCTCCGCGAAGAAGCGTTTGAGAAGAGCCCCTCGTGATCCTTGATCACTGATGGACCGTGATGGTCTTAAGGGAATCTGCAGTTCTGGACCGCTCCAGAACGAGACAGAACCACAGACCGTGGCCCGTGTCTCGGAGGGGCGTGAGGCGTCAAGCAGGTTTCCCCATACTCTGTTACTCCGTGCCTCGTTCGAAACCCCCCAAGCCACTGCAGTCTGATGCTCCCGTGAGCGGGGTTGGGACGGGGGCATCGGGAACCCATTGGGTCGAAAGCATTGTACCATTGGCAATTGAAATTACGTAGGATCCCGCCTCCGAAGCTCTTCCCTGACAATAAGTGAGATCTCTCTAAAATTTCACGATCCACGATCCCAAGAGGACGGGGGACCCGCGACGTCTGGACTCTTACTCTAACCCCCGCCCCAGACCGCTTTCGAGCTAGGTACTGTTGCCCGTATCACCTTTGGGCTTTAGCTTCAACTGGGATTAGACTCTCCCTCTCTCCTCGAGCTACCACGGCAGAGAGAGCTTTCGAACCTTTTGACTCGTTTCGTAAAAAAAAACGTGTGGTTGAAGAGGAGGGGCGCCGCGCCAGACTTTGCGGGAAGACCAGCGTGTTTTTGCTTCTTTCTCACTAGCTTGGCGTCAAAAAAACAGGTCACGCATACCCCAAAGGAGAAGATGACTTAATTAGTGCGGGGGGTTTCTATGCAGAAGGAGTTTTTGTTTTTTTGGTAGATCACTGTAAGGAACGGCGGCAAAGTTTACGAGGCTTGAGGTGTTGTGACTGTGTGAGAGGATGGGAATTGCGCAAATATGCCTTTGCTATGACCGAATTTCCCGGCGATCTCTCACCTTGGAGGGATGTTATCACGGTTATTTCTGGAGGTTATTTCGATGAGAGGGGGCCAAAAATGTGAGGGCGGCACGGCGGCAAGGGGCGGTTGGCTTTTCTGCATCCAGGTTCCTTGTCAGGATCTTCCAACCGGGACGGGGATTGTCATGTTGTTCGGGTCTCTGTGTTGTCACCCTAGAAACAAATAGAGAGACATGGAGGGGTAAAAGGCTGCAAGACTGACGGACAGAAAAGGTCGAGATACTTGAGCTCAGTAAGAGATGTGGTGGGAAGGACAAGTCTCTGTATGTCTCACACTGCGTGTCTACCCACCTCCCACCACACCTCCTTTACGCTTCCTCCGGCTTCCTCCTGGCTGTCCGATGAGAGCCGCATGGCGTAATGCCCCGCAAAGCCGCGTTGAGGCGGGGTCAAAGAAGAAGGTCAGAGCAGGTTACATGCAGGCATTCAGGCCCAGCTAGCGCCACGGGCTTTCGAAAGGAGCTGAGCAGTCGATGACCGCATTTTATGGAGTAGGTGACGCCACACTACGGCACAAATCTCACAACGAAAAAACACGAAAACACGAAAAGGATCAGAGGTCACTAGCCACATTACAATCTCCCATCATCTCCGGTCTCCAGTCCGGCTGTCCAATCATCGAGCTAACGCCACACGCGGGGCCGTCCAGCCGAGCTCTTGATGCTGCGTCATTGGAGGGGGTTTCCTTTCCGTTGCCTTGGTTCTGTGGATATCACATCACATCCCTGGCCGAGGCTGGAGCCACATACATACGCTTTCGGGAACGTCAAACCTCGATCCATGTCATATCACTCCACAAAGTCCACTAGGTACGGCTCTGCACCTCCAGTTCTCAACCTCTCAGACCTCTCGCTCCCAAAGGAACACGACACGACACGAACGAGAAAGCTCGGATCACGTCTTTTCCCCTCGTATGTACAACCGCCACCACGGATTGCGTTTGCCCGGCTCTGGCCCGTAGGGTTGTAGGTACCTTCGTAGGGCCATTGGGAGGTCTCCAATGTCTCACAACTCCCACTCAATGGCTCGTAGCAGTTGGAAAACTTGCGACTTCTCGCTGAATAGGCTGTGAGACACGACGCGCGGCGGCGCAGTCCGTCTCTCGTTTTGTCTCCAACGCTGCGCTACCCCAGTCAGATGCCAGCTCAGCTTGGCAACTCTGTCACGCTTGGACGAAACGGAAAGACGAACAGGAGCGCCAGGCGGAACAGCTGGGTACCTAGTTTCTGATTCTCTCTGAAGCTTGCCCCTCCTCCACCACGTGCGGTAGCGTACCTGAGCGAACGAAAAGAGACATGCTTTTCCAGGTTACAGTCGTTACTCCAGTCCGAGCCAAAATAACCACACGTCTCCAATTCTTCTCCATTTTGTCTTCGCCACATTTGCTGTCCATCTCGCAGCCCTATAACGTCACCAGCCACAGATCTTCATCCCCTCTCGAACCGTCGTGGCCCCGCCGTTCCTTTGGCCTATGACGACGAATCTTTGACATGTTACGTGCTGTCGAGCTCTTGGGAGCCCTCTTTGGGAGCCCTGAGTACCTCTGTACCTTCATTCTCCATGCCAAACCGGAGATTCCTATGAAGCAAAGCAAAAAGGCTTGACGGAAACAAGCGCAGTGTCACGCCAGACAATGCTTCTGGGTCGTCATCCAGCCATGGCAAACTGGGTCTAGTTCACCGGTTCCCCATTGGCCTGGGGGTAGGGAGAAGGGACCCCGGTCTGCCCTCCGGAGCAGATGTACCGCACTACCGACTGATGCTAGTCCTGGGGCCCAACGCCTCACCCCGACTGGCTGACAGTTTCTGAAGCTTGTAGTCCCGAATGAGACACCTGCGTCCAAGACCTATGACGATGTATGAAGTAAGTGCCCAAGCTGTCCCTCACCTCTGCGGCCACTTTCTCCTCCAGACCAAACCCATGCCGGCATGTACAGTGTGTATGGGCATTGGCGCTGGACTGGCCTAGACAAGCAGGCAAGCAGGCACGGTGATGCAGGTTCCTTGATTGTTGTCAGTCACAGCGTAGGCGTTGCAAGGGTGGTCACAGAGAGGAGTGAGAGAAGGACCAGCCACGGGGCTTGCTTTGCTTGCTGGATCGGGATCGTAATTGTATGATCTACCATCGCAAAGGAGTTTCGAAGATGCAGCTTCTCGATGTGTCTTTTGATTCTATATAACCTCCAGAACCTCTCCTCCTCAGTCTTGTCTTTTCTTCTCTTCTCTCCTCATCATAACACAAGATACCCCAAAACAACCAACTCTCACAACCAACTTACAAACAACCACCTCTTTCATAACCCATATTTGATTTCATTTTGATACCCCAAATCATCAGATAGCCCAATATGTCTTCCATTGTCAACAAGGTCAAGGACGCTCTGTCTTCGGACAAGAAGCACGAGCAGCCCGAGGGAACCCACGGTCACCATGACAGCCGCGCAGCAAACGCTGCCGACCCCCGCATCGACTCTGACCGTGACCACCGCGCCAACCCCGCTGGCACCACCGGCACTCACACCGGAACCCACACCGGCACCTCCGGCCTCACCGGTACCACTGGTACCCACACCACCGGCACCCACGGCACACACACTGGCACCACCGGTGGCCTCACCGGCTCCAACGTGACGGGCACCCACACCGGCCACACCGGCGTTGGCGGATACGATGGCCCTGCCCCCACCACTGCTGGCCCGTAAGCTTCACCCTCTCTGTCTTATGCCTTGATTCTCATCTAACACCTCTCAGTCACAAGTCAGACGCCCTGAACAAGGCCGATCCCCGCGTCGACTCTGACCACTCCAAGGACCACCACAACACTCACACCACCGGCGGCCTGACCGGCAACCCCGCTGGCGCCGGCCACCACACCACCGGTGCTCATGCCGGTACCCACGGCACCCACACCGGCACCACCGGCGGCCTTACTGGCTCCAACACCGTCACCGGCTACGATGACCCCACCGGCACTCACGGCACCCACAACTCTCGCGTCGCCAACGCCGCCGACCCTCGCATCGACTCTGACCGTGATCACCGCGGCGCCCCCGGCCACACTGGCATCGGCGGCGCTGGTGTTGGTGGTGTCGGCAGCACTGGCACCCACACTGGAACTCACACCGGAACTCACACCGGAACTCACACCGGCACCTCCGGTCTGACCGGCACCCACGGTACTACGGGTACCCACGGCACCCACGGCACCCACACCGGCACCACCGGCGGTCTGACCGGCTCCAACACCGTCACCGGCTACGATGACCCCACCGGCACTCACGGCACCCACAACTCTCGCGTCGCCAACGCCGCCGACCCTCGCATCGACTCTGACCGCGACCACCGCGGCGCCCCCGGCCACACTGGTGTCGGCACTGGTGTTGGCTCTACCGGCACCCACACCGGCACTCACACCACCGGCACCCACACTGGTGCTCACACCGGTGCCCACACTGGCGTCGGCCACACCGGCGTCGGCGCCAACACCCACAGCGCCACCACCGGTCCCGCCCCGGGCACCGCCGGCCCCCACAAGAGCGACTTCCTGAACAAGGCCGACCCCAGAGTCGACTCCGATCTCGATGGCAGCAAGACCATCGGTGGCAACAAGTAAGCGATTTTGCACACAACGAGCGCAAGAGAACGATTCCGGATGAATGGGTGGCTGACGAGTACGCACCCCAGGACTGGAACTTCTGGAACGACTGGTCACGCTAAGGATCCTACCGACGCTGCTCAAGTTCCTCCCTCCGTGCTTGCTAAGCACATTGGTGAGCCTGAGACTGCGCACGGTGGTGTCCACGGAGACCATGGAAGACGGAACTCGATTCCTTCCCACCAGGAGTCTCACCGCGGATTGTAAAGGAGGTGTTTATGTGGAGGATTGAGTTGAATGATACCTAGTACAGCTGTACCATAGCGATATGACTTAATGAAATTATCATTGCTGAAAACTTTGTACATTGAGTGAAAGTTCAACAATCAATGAAAGCAATTTAATGTCCCAATTTTACACAAATTTCATGCAAGTGGACGTAAGTATCTATCCAGTTGACTGCACATCATCTCTAAACATATAGTTATAGGATAAGGTAACATATGACTCATTCATTCCCCTTACTGGTCCCGTTCGCTTCTCTTTCATCTTGTCTCCAATCCCTTCATTCAGTGTTTCCTCGCCCTCAAAAAAACCGTGTTCAGCTTTCCGAATCACGCAGCAACAAGCCACCAGTCTACCCCTCCTCGAGGGGTCGATCTATGGGGTCCTCTCCTCCATTGCCTGAGACAGACGATGTGAGGTTAAGTACAAGTGTCCATAGAAACGTGGGAATCGGATTGAAACCTATTGGCCCTGTACTTCAGTTCTACGTTCGCCAACGAACACCTTGCAGAAAGTTGTCGGCGGTGACAAACTCTTCTTGAATCTTTCCCCGTTTTCAAGTAAGGCTTATCTGATTTTTCTACGAACCCCTTCTTCATGAATTTGCCCGACGACGCGCCAGCACAGAAGAAAGGGGGTAACTGTTAGTCAGGGCCCACGACGGGCTACCTTTGTAGCTGATCGATGACAGATTAATGATCATCAGAGCCCAGGATGCCCATTCAGTCCAAGACCGCAACTTATCAATGGCCTCAAGTCAACATCAGGCGGGCCAAGGCCCTGATGGCGAGCAGCAATGAGGCCAGAGCAAACCTCGCCATATGTGGCTGCACCCACGAATATCCTATATCTCAAGACATCCACGCCGTAAGGTAATAGGAGTACAACCTGGGATCACAGCACATTCGTACCCCAGGCGTGGCGCATCAGTGCATGCCTCCAGTTCTAGAGGGAGACGGCACATAGCAAAGCTTATATTCTACTTTGTTGGGCAAAATATGCTGTCGTATTTTCTTCCCGTCTATTCTTGTCCAAGCTTGTAGTAGTCTTCTCTTGAGAAAATACTCGCCTTCGCAGTTTCTGCTTGCTTAAGTATGCATGTCGACACAGTTCAAAGTTCTCTGTTCTTTTTTAATCAAGAGAAAAACCCTTCTCATTTTCGTTCGCTATATCATCGTAACGGCACGTCTTGATAAACCAAGTACTCGCTGAGTCAAGGGTTTTTTGAGGCCTGACATGTTTAGTCTATTCTCGATCGCTAGTCCTCCATTCACCAGGGACCAGCAGCGCCTGATATGCTTCTGGTAAGATGCAAATATAGATTTGTACATGATCCCACCGGATACTTCCATTCCACGTACTAAGCTTAATGAACGGGACAAGGGGCGGGAATGATGAAAAGAAGAAGGGCAAGAAATTGACGGACAGCAGTCTATTCGTGTCCGTTTATGACAGGCAGAGGCTCGAGATGAGAACGCTCGCGTTGTGGACGAGTCATAAGACATTGTGAGATGGTCTCTCAGTAAACATGAGGATGAATGTCATACAAGCAGATAGAGCAGCTGATAGGAAAAAATACTGGAGTAACTAGCATGAATTCATGTTCCTCCGCGTCGATCAGAAGTTGTAGTATGGTTCTCTTCTATCATGTGCCCCACGTCTGGCTCAAGTTCGCGATAAGTATTCCAGTCGATATAATAGTCACGCCTATGGGTAAGGCGCATTGGTGGGTTTATCAACGAATCCTCAATGCACATTGTGCATGTGAAAAACTCGAGTACTCAAGCTCGGTCCCCATACCTTTCTTGCAAACCAATAGGTGGCGCGACATACAAGAGCCTGCTTCCTGCTTCCTTCCTGGTTCCGTGTCGGCGAGCATTGGAACTCCACGACCAACGCTACCACACCTTGACTAAACGGTTCTTGATACCGCCTCGCAGCCGTACAATCGGGCAAGGCCTGTGACGTTTCGTGACCACTCAGTCTTGATCGAACGAGAACTTGAAGAGAGCTCCAAAAGTCGAAACCTAATAGGTCATTGACCAGACGGGCGACTCAGGCAGCGGCAAGAAGAATCAACTCAACGGCCCTGTCTTCGACAGCTTTCTCCATGACCTGGACGTTTAGAGTGCTTCCAAGGCCGAGATAACTAGCCGCTTTCACGACATTGCCGAAGATGTTGATCTTCTCCTCGACTTCTCCTCGTTGCCATTAGACTGGTCAGGCTGCCTTACATGGGAAGTGTATAAGTGGTAGATGAGCCCGATTGATACTTGTCTTCTCAACCACTCGAATCTCAGTCGAATGTAGTATTGCCAGGTTAGGACCAAGTCACTCATCCAGCACCTGGTGAATCGGCTCTTGTGTTGCATGTAGGAGCGATGCATGCCGTCTCTGACATCCATGCATGGGCCTGAACAAGCGTCTATGCCTTCCAACCACCGTCGCCCAAGTGTTCTCTTCAGCATAATCTGCCATAGAGGGACAGAGAGTGATAGCATGCGGAGCTCTGAGAATTATAGAAGCTAATTAGGAAGGCATCCTGAAGTTCCAGGACCTTGAAGAGATTTGAGAGCAAGGCAACGCAGTGGTTTTCCACACCCATACGTCGCGCATACACCTGTGATGGAGTTCAGGGCTTCTCGAAACAAAATTCCCCATCTCACCATGTATAGGGCTTATATAAGATGAATAGCTTGAAGTTGAAGTTGAGGTCTCTAACCAACCTAGCTCTGAAACAAGGGAGCTTTCGGGATGTCTCTTACGCTTTGAAATATCGATCAGCTGTTAGAAGTCCAGTATATCTCTTGTCTACAGTCTCATCATATCAGTCACATAAAACTGAAGAAGTTCCACTGATAGAAAAGTCGGCACTCATTGCTTCTCTCTATGCAGAAGCGAAACGTTTGCACCGAATTCGTGACGAACGTCCAATAAATAGTATGTGTAGGTATAGGAGGTAACAATCATGTCAACGGCCCTTCAAAGCTGAGCCCATGCAGCACGTATAAGTACTCTTCCGCTGAGAACCCATATCCATCTGAGCACCTCTATCAAGTTGTTATACTCGACAGCTTATCAATATTTAGTCCAAGAGTCTCCACGGGGTCATCAATAACATAAATTTATCAAGGGCGCACGTTGGTATGACGACTGACTACTGGCAGATACCGTCAGAGCTTGAACAGACGTCTACCAAATCCCCCTCCAGACCCCGTCCCTTCGGCAGCCCAACACAGCCGCGCCCTCCGGACCCGGCCGCGACGCCGAAACCCCGGGACGTATCAGACCCCCAGCGACCGGCTCACGTGCGGGGAGGCGGTCTCCCATCCGCCACTCTCCTCAACTCCCGAAACTCAAATTGACAACCTTTCTCATTTGATTACGTCTTGCCAGTTACCAAGTAACCCCCTTTTTCCCTATCCGCAACAATTTGACTTACCTACCTCATGCGAATTACCTTCCTAGTACGCCAACATGGACAACTCACAACGTGCCATCAAAGCGGACAGTCCTCCATCACAACCGGAAATACCACCGAATAGAGAAGTTGCCCGCGCACGCCACGACGGACATCGTGGCAAAAAAACAGAAGGATTGCCTCTGGACTCTACTTGGAAGGAAACGAGGGGAGCTAAACCATATATCGAGCATGTCGCGGGCGTCCGCGGGCGCCCAGATGATCTCCCCAATCCGCTGCGCGCCCGAACATTTCTATTTCCTGGGTCGGAACACAAGTATCCCGCCGGCTTGAACTCCAAATACCACCCCGGCACAGCTCCGAGAGGAAGGAAGGAAAGGAAGGGGGAAGGAAGGGGATATGACGTCCTTTCGGGATGTAGTACCCGAACCCTCTTGCGCCATTCTGCGTCTCCTACTCGAATCACGATCTCGATACCGTGACAAGCGTAGCCTCCTTTTTCTTAAACCACGAGCCGGCGCGCCCGCTTTCCCACGAGTCAAGAGCGCCTCCGAGGCTTGCGTCGTAGGAGTATCGAATCTAGAACGCTTGAGCGCCCTACCTCGCCCACCCCCTGGAAGCGCGCCATCGAAAAAAAAGGGAAGTGGGGGCCCCGAAAATGATGTTCTGACGCCGTCTGTAGATCCTCTTGTTCGGGCGCACGCGGCGGCGCACGCGGGAGAGGCTATCATACCGCATTCATAGGCATATAGGCAAGAAGTCCCCCCTGCATTATCCGCCTCGTGCTAATTCAAGTCAGGGGGGAGGATAGTTTCGTGGGGCTGGCACGGAAAGAAATGTCTAGTGTAAAAGGCACATGGGTTTGATAGCCCAAGCCGTGCGTAGGACGGTTGGCTTGCAGGAAGGCGAGACCATGTGAGTTGTTTGGGACGATCTTCCATTGGGTCCTGGGGATAGGACGGACTGGGCGTAATAAGGCGAGGAGATGGTGCACAGTCGGTGAGGTTTGGACGTCGCAGCGCTATGCGAGCTAGCACCGTCATCTTTGCAGTAGAGCGGATTTTCGCAGACGCATTCGAACCAAGGACGCCAGGGTGGCCAGGTTCTTACGATGTGACGACTAGCCCTCATGGGCGGAGGACGACAGACCCCGATTTCGTCAAATACTTGGCCAGCCAGGCGCCCACAACATGTTTGATGCCGTTGAGCCGCTAGGCCGCAATGGCAAATTCGCCCAGTACAAACCAAAACGTTCAGCTTTGACGTCGAGGGAAACCCCCGGCTGCTGTTGCGAATCATCGGGTTACTCATTTCGTGCATCTGATCTTCGACAACCCCGTCTGTCCCTCCCCCATCCCCAGGTTCCGATCCGACGATGGTGGTGTTCTGGTTCGCTCATAACCACTGACCACCGACCGATCTCTGATGGTTCACCAACCCCTGCCGCATCTGAGGGTCTTGCTAATTTGCCCGTCTTGATGCACACCTGAGCCCGCCCCAAGAAGAAAAGAGCTTAATTGCACGGTCCTACAAATCTGGTTGCGTGAGCGAGAGGCCTTCCCCCTCCACGGCGAGTAAGATGCGTTCTAAGAACCATGATGCTGGGACGGCGCGGGAGCTAATGCAGGAGGTCGAAAAAGGAGCGACGGGGAAGCCTTCCGGTGTGGTCCGGGCTGGCCGGGGGTAGGTTAGGTCGGGAGCCTCTAGTGCCGGGCGAATGACGGAGGAGAAGAGGGCAGCGAAAGGGTGAAATGGACCTGTTCCAGCCCTGTACGGATACTTGCAATGTGAGGTAGCTGAAGCGATGTAACAGCACTACACAGAGTGTTCCTATGGTTCAATGGATTGATTGAGGGGTGCGCGGTGCTATTGATGCATGGACATCTGGGCGGTGATGATCCGAGTGATCCCCACAGGGCGACTGTGTAGTAATAATACGATGGTAGCCGCGGCAGGCACGAAGTGCCGATGGTACTGATGTCGGCAACTCGGAGGGTGCAACTAGGCCCGCTACTTTCGATTATCGACTTGTCCTCAGCACAAGGCCGCGACGAGTATTGTGTCGAGCATGATTGCCAAGTAATCTACCACGAAGCTGAACAGCAGGGCTAAACAAAATGTAACATTCCCACTGCTGAGAGAGAGGTAAGTCCTTTGAGGAGGTGGCCTTTGGCTTTGACAAGTCGTCGGCTCACCCCCCTTTCTCGCATGTCAAAGTCCGAGTTGACACGCATGGGAGAGCCCTAGGAGCTACGAATCGCGGCTACGTGATGACGAGTTTCAGCCTCCCAGTAAGCCACCCAGTAGGCCTCTCAGCAGAGGGCGGATGCCGATGCCGATGCGCCTAGAGTGGTTCAGAAATACAAGCTACACGGCCTTCGGTAGACACCTGGACATGAGTGCTATCGCTATCGGCCATGGCGAATACGAGACTCTGGAGTCCCTTCTCTTGTCTAAAATTGGGGTTGAATGGGATGGACGAACCAACGAGGCGTCAAAGCCAGACGGCGTCAACTAAACGTAATCTGCTTGCCCATGAGACTCCTAAAGGCGTCATCTAGTGCCTTGCGCTTGCGACTTCTTTCCTCCTCATTGGCATCCTGGGGATCCGGGGTGTCATCGTCGTCTTCAGGCTCAGGCAGCCGGGGCATCCAGGACCGAATCTGGCCGTCCAAGTGAGCCGTGTAGACGGCACCAAAAGAGCTCCCGCCTCCCATGATAGGCCCCTTTTGTAAACCGGAACCACCACTACCACGCCACACCATACTCATTGTGCGATTCTTGACATTTAAGCCATTATTTTGATACACGGCCGCTGCATGAGGTCCAGGAACTCGTAGGCGCGTTACCAAGGTGCCTTCGTGTAGGTCCATGACCAGGATCTCTTGCTCGTTGGGATAAAATAGGAGATCCCGACGTGATGGGGCCAGACGAGCGGGCGTCACAAACATGTTGACGGTCTTTGGCTGTTGATTCTGTATCAGGGAGCCAAAACTAGCTAGCGTATTCGCGCCAGTAGCAGCATCCCATACACGGATTCGACAATCCAAGCCGGCTGAGACGATGTACTTGCCATCGTCGGTCCAGGTCAAGCCGTTGACACCCTCATTGTGAGCTCGAGCTGAGTTGCGGAAATGAGGCATACGCTTCCAATCAAGGCCAGAAGCCATGGCATGGTCGAAGCGGTGTACAATACCAAGGCTATCCTCCTGATCGAGCTGGCCGACCAAGCCAGAGGCGCGCCGTATGTCCCAGACGCGGACTTTCCCGTCGACATGTCCGGTTGCAAGAGCATGCTCCTGACGAGGACTCCAGGCTGCCGATAAAACAGCGCCCCCGTGTGCTACCAGCGAGCGAATCGACGTTCCTGACCTGAGGTCGACCAGGCGAACAGATGAATGCTGGGTCGCGCAGGCCACCAAGAGATGATTGGCAATGGGGCTGGTGGCATGGGTGTAGATATTGGCATTGAGATCGAAATTGGCGGATACAGTCATGCGTTGAGTAGACCATAGCTTGAGCGAGCGGTCAAAGGAACTGGAGAGAAAGGCCTCGTTGTCGAAAGGGTAGAAATCAAGATGAGTAATGCCGTGTTTGTGGGTGTTTGTCTCATCTCCAATAGACCGGGCAATGTTGGCAATGGGTTGAAAGATGTGAGATTTGTGAGGATTGCTCTCTTGATGAAGGTCCCAGAGCTTCACAGATCCGTCTGCGCCGCCAGAAAGAAGTCTACATGAAGTATCTAGTATTAGATAACGAGCGGCAGAGAGGGGAGTTTAGAGAGATGAGATACGTACAAACGACCATCAAACTTATCCAAGGCCAGTGCGTTGACACCAATGCGGTGAGCCCAAAGATTCACATGTCGGCCCTCTTCTTCGGGTTCAGCTCCTTCACCGTCGAACCGATGCTGTGGAGCGGCGGCAAAGGATCGGATGAGCCCCGAGGTGGTCGCTTGCGCAAAGCCGTCCGGGCTCAGCTCACCTGTTGAGCGGGCAAATAAACGGGACTGCATTCATCTGGGACTGGGCCTTGAAGTGGCAAGGTGACCCGAGATGAGAAGCCGTTTTGAAGAATTCTAGGCGAGCTTGACGTAAGGTGTGTGGTCGAAGTCTAAGGTGGGATGTTGATGAGGCTGAAACTGAGGCTAAGGCTGAGGTACCGAAGGAAGGTACCTACCTGGTGAGACTGGTGGATGGGAAGATGAGGTTGCCAGAGGCAGTCGTGATGATGTCAGCAATGGACTCTTTCCAGCGCAACTTTCCCCTGTGGCTGCTCTGTGGTTGCCCTACGGACGGTTGCCTTTCCAGGTGCAGTTGCCCACCTGGGAGAGAGGAAGGAACCAGATAGAGGCCCGTTCATTGGCCAGACTGTCCCTGAACCCCACCCTTCAGAACCTTCCATTCTCTCAGACTCTGGGCAAGAACGGCAAGGTCGGTCAGGACATTCCTGCCCAACCTGAGAAATTGAATTTGGAGGGTAAAGACTCGAATCTGCCTCCCGTCTTTCAGGCAACGACCTCCCCAACGTCTTCACAATTTCCTCAAGACATATGCCATTGACGGCGTAGACGACAACCCGATACTCGTCCTCTTTTTTGGCCAGCTGCCGAGAACCAGACCTGTTGCACCGAGAGCCAACGACTATAGGTGCCATCGTCCACCAAGACAATACTCGACGCTTCCTCTCTCGCAAGTGTTTTTGCATGCCAGCTTTCGTCGGCGACAACAACGTCCCAGGAGCTACCTATAGGGGAACAACCAGAGACCTTGTCATCATGGAAGAAAAACCGGCAGATCAGCGCCCAGACATTCACGACCAGTCTGATGCACATGGCCCCGAGCTTGTTCAACGTTCAACAGAAGAAGCTAAGCCGTTGCAAAGACATGCCAGCGTCTACGATGCTGTTGCAGGTAAGCATGACCCAAGCCCAGGCTTCTCTATCTGAATTAGTACCAACTCACTACCAGGAAGAATCGTATTTGACACCACATTGAATGCCGCTGTTCAGGATGAGAAGACGCCTCACGCCAACTCCAAACCGCCCAGGCTGACTAGACATCCCATCAACGCTTCCGCGTTAGCCCCGGAAGAGGTTCTGTTCCGCCGCAAGTCAGCACCCGAGCGCTTTGCCGAGTTCGATGTCTACATGGCACATGACCGGAACCTCACAGACGGTGGCCGCACATCCCTGCCCGACTCTGATCTTCTCAAATCCGTACACACCTATGCGAGCTACTTTTATTCTGCCCTTGGCGGCCCAAAGCGCAATCTCTTGTACCAAGTTGGCGCTCGCAATATTGACGAGAGAAGTATGGATGAGTCGGCCTTAATCGCCTTGGGCATTTTGCTCGAAGAGGCTGGCAGAGACGTCTTAGGAAGCAAAGGAGACATGGTTTTCACCGAGGGCCTCCAATTACCCGAGGACAGCAACCCGACGTATCAAGAACCACGCGCCGCGACCAACACGCCAACTCATCCTGTGCTTGGACACGTGAGCCGGGAGACAGCCCCTGTCGGTTTCGCTGACGTTGGGTCCTGGAAAAGGGCAACTAAACGACAAAAACTGAGCGATCCCGATAATGCCTAGAGCCTCTCTGAATCTCTCACTTTCCGAGATGTTGGTTCCAACACTCCCCGCCAAACCCTTATCACCGCTCGACTTGCTGGCACTTTTGCACTTGGCGACCGTTGCCAGCAACCCGGAACAAGTATGGATCCTCATTTAGCGATCGAGTGAGCAATCGAGACACGGCAACTCGGCATCTGGTGCTTGCGTGCACGGGGACGGTTGTGGACTTACACAGCCTTATCCATTGTTTGCTCTTGAAAGAAAGAGTAGCAAATATATCGGTCACAAGATCCACGGCACGCTCGACACGAATATTCGGGCGTGGTCAGCGATGGCATATCCCAACGATGACCGAGTGCAGAAGTTCGTTCCGTAATGAACCACCCATCGAATCAGCTGTCGCTAGACACCCAGTCACTGCCAGGATCCGCCATCTAACTTCTAAGCAGCCTCGATCCCATACATGGAGCGCTTGGAACAGCTGGCTCATTGACGGAATGATCCTAACTTCGCAAACGCTCCACGCCCGACAACGCCGCATGTTTTCTCCTTTCGTTTGTTCAAGAGACATAGCAAGCTTACCTTGCCTACCACGGATAAGTGTCCCGCTGTATCTATGTACTTCTCGTGGGCCCCGATTTCTCTTTTCCGCGACTTTGTATGGAGGAAATACGTCGTGGCCAAGTCCGATGAAGTTTGTTGGAACACAGGTTTCGCTTAGCAAGATGCCCACCAAGACTCGGGACAGAAACCAGAAGTTGTTTGCGATAGACTCTCAGCGCCTGCCATACCCACCAGTTTGCGCGCCAACCGTCTGCTGTCGACCGCTTTTGTACGACATCATCTATGCTCGAGCGAACTTTGACGAATCGAAGCAGCTCTTGACGTCAGACGCTATGTAGTCTATTTCTAGGACTAGACGAAAGGCTTTTTTGCCAACTTCCTAAGCGCAGCAGAAACAAGGGGAGCAGCCCAGGGTCATTCACAATTTGACTTATGTCGGCATGGAAAGAGAAGAGTGCGAGGTCGGAGTGAAAGTCCCTGTCAAACCTTGGAAGTCTACCTCGATACCAAGCCAGACCAGGCGATGGAAAATGGCGTCGACACAATCTCCCCGTCCATCGTCGGCGACCTTTCACCATAGACACCGCAGAGCTCATACCTGTAACCAACTGCCATCAAGATTGAATCCACTATGCGTCAAGCCCAAGGGAAAAGGAATCTAGACATCGCACAATCTTGACGCTGATGACAACCTCTTAACTTTGCAGGTAGGGTACATTCGTCCGCCCAAGCATTCTACCCCTGAGAGCCGTTGGTACTCAACCGAGAATCTTATATCACAACGGATCGCAAATCGTACGTTCTCAATGCGAAGCGAGAGACTCCATTTCGGTGACATGGCCGACTCCCCGACTTTATTGGGGTATGCATGCATACTGTTGGCCTCCGGGACAGCTCTCAATGCATCGCCGGCCAGCGGTTCACTAATAGACGACAACGTAACGAAGTATAAGCATAGCGAATGCCGTAGAATGCCATTCAAACCAAGATCAGTGGTTACGGAGGCAGATGTTCTGGCGTGAACAGGACACCGCCTGAGTCTTACAGACGCAGCTTACTAAGCAATACTGTTTGACCGCTTTCTTACACAGTTGGTGCCTCACTCCGACTTGGGGTCGCATCCGACGCACCGGACCGGAATGGAGGCGGGTACGGATCTAGATGTCCGGTCACCGGTGTGGGGGTCTCATCCGGCAGGTCTCCCGATCACCTCACCCGCTCCGGGAGAGCTTCAGTGAAGGGTTCAGACTCTATTTTTGCGGCTGATATCGGGCTGCGCGATGGGCTGAGCACACATGTTCTGTCAGTCAGCAAGTTCGAATCTATTGCCGGACATACTCGTGCAAGACCGCACCCGTATCAGGCTCACACATTGTCATTTTCGCCAATTCTGAGCAATCTACTTACAACGCGCAAGGACACGCATCAGAAGAGATCTTGAGAGCTGATGAGGGCAAGCCCCAGGAACCCCCCGACACACAGAGAAAAGGAAATCTCAATCCAGCTTGGCGTATCTCGACCAGGGCCTTGGTTGGGATCGGAAATCGGAGATCGGCTTGACTCCCTTGCAAGACAAGAAGAGTCAGTTCCGTGAGCTCTGTGCCTCTGGCAATCTGCACGATATAGAATCTTGCTCTTACGGTCCACCCACCTCAGCTGTTGGCACTGAGCATGGCCTGCGCTGCAACGTAACAGAACCCCTTTTCGGCGCCCGCTGTGTGCAAACTGGAACACGAAAAATTTGCCTCTGGCGGCGACACTAGGCCGGCGGAGATATTTAGGGGTACACTATCAGAACAAGGCATTGTGCCGTCCGCAATAGAGATGGAAGTCGGAAACGCCGTTCATGGTTGTGGTTGGGCATCGAGATCAACATTCATCGACCTTGCGACGAAAGTCTGTTCAGCCATGTGCAACCCGCTTTGACCGCTTGACAGTCCTCGCACAGCAGAACCCTTGGCTGCTTGATGACATTTCCCACCTAGATTTGCAACATTCAGGCATCAGGCTCAACTTGGAGTTTGATCCATCCCTGAAGGCCACGCGATCCGCAAGGGGGCGTATCACAGTTTCGGTGTCGCTCTCGTCATGTGACTATTGATGCAACGGTACACCGTTGTTGTAGTTGGCAGCACATCGCTTGTGCCAACAACTTCTTCGACCTGCATACGGATACCGCGTGCAATAGCTGTATTAGGCAAAGAATAAGGATTCCCCTAGACCGCGAAGGAACTTCAAGGCAGACCGCGCAAGCTCGAGAGATCATCGAATATGATAAGCATGAACCGGAGGCGACGCGATCAGACATGGTTGTATTGACCACTAACAAGTGTACCGCACCGCTCAGTACTATTCATCGCTGGCAGCACTGGGGCCACTGTCCTTCGAAGGCTCGAAACACCGCAAAAGGGGCCAGGATTTTGTTGAAGAATATCACGGCAGATCGTTCGCAAAAAAGATGTATTCTGTTACAGCCAGAAGAGTGCCTATCCCGGTCTAGCGCTAGTATCTCCTTTCCAACTCGTCATTGACAAATTTCCCCGGCCGTTAGACGTCGTAACCACCTAATATACGCACGGAGAATGGGGACTATGTCTGTCAAACTGCCAGAACGGCATCTACCGACGAGCTGAAGAAAAAGGAAGGAAAGGAAGAAGCGGAGCACGCCAGAAAATCAACAACTGTCTGGACCAACGGCCACCGTCTTGCAATATGTTCATGCTCACCGACAGCCCACCGATGGATCCGACGTGCTAACTTCATGTCCAGGATCTCGACGTGGCTCGATGGAGCAATCCCCTTCATTATGACGGTGGCTTAGTTTCAGCTTCTGGCTAAGCGACCACTTGATCTTAGTCTCGGGGGATGGAACGGCGGTTCAACCTTCTCGAGCTCTTGGCCCCGGATCTAAATTGGAATTCGTCTCCAGCAACGGAACACCAGAAGCATTGTTCGACGGGGAACTGATTCGGCCCGGACGCCATTGAAGCTGGACGTACCGAATACACGGCAGTATGTACTCACACAAGTCATTGTCGTTTCCGACAATTGCCTAGAACGTTTTAAGTAACCTTGAGGGCGAAGTTCTATCAACAAAGCACCTGCGCCACGTGGCTTCCAACGGTGCGACTTTCTTGACCGACATGCGTGTCAGCCGCCTGCGGTAAGGAGGCAAGTTTATTCCAGGCGCTTGTTTGCAAAGAAGACTGGTTCAGCAAGCAATGCGGCTGCTATTCTAGGACACAACGCGCTCCGTTCCCGTTGCGGTGCTTGCCTTCCCGTTTGTGGCGCTGCCTATGAAAATTTGAACGACATGCGAGGGCCCCCAACGCAGCTCGGGATGATCGACGCAATGCCGGCCGAGAAGCATTGCCACAGCTCAAGTCACAAAGCCTTTTCCAACGACCACGTCTCGAGTCTTTTGACTGGCCAACTCGCACACACGGAACTCGCAAGGGAACTACCGGAGACGCCTGCTAGTTTGACCGGTCAAGACGAACAATGTTGATCCTTGGTCTCGGTGTGACAGTACGAATAATGGCCTGATTAAAGTACGTGATCGGAAAATGAACCAAGCTCGGACCACTGTCGAATATCTTACGGTGCCAACCGAGGTTCCGAATTCTTCAAGAGTCAGGCAAGCGCATTTCGATTATCAGATTTGAAGGTGTCATTGCTTGTGGGCAGCCTGGCATGCCAGCTCGCGAGAACACAACGGCTCAAAACCCTGAGAGGCTGCTGTTGAAATCCGAAGGTATCTTGACACAAGGCTCAGAGAACAGGTCCTGTGCGCTGCAGACCGAAAGATCCCGAGAAATGACAAAAGCGAGGGGCACCCAGCGGGTCTGCGCTGTTACTCCAATCCTATGGATTGGGTTTTAACCCTCACCTATCCGCCTAATGGATGTAAATCCTCGCCTTTCAGCCGCAGCTGTGTATACGCATACCGTCGCTTCAGAGTAACTACGAATAAGCTATCGGATATTGCAGGGAACAAGGTCGATTATTTCCCTTACGAGCGAGCGCCCTGCGGCTCAGGCAGTCTCTCGGGTAGTTTTTGGGCTGAAAGAAAGCCTTCTGCGGCAACACATGCTGGCCTCAAAACGGGATTGCCAGAAACCAAACAGTCCAGTCCATATGACTGGCGCTCCTATGATAACAGTGCAACATATCTAGGCCAAGCATGCTTTGTACCTCTGACGGCCATCCCACCCCGCCCGTTGCGACCTAAGCCGTAATCGGCACGGCTGTTCTTCTCATCGCCAATGTTCAGATGTCATTTTCGATAGACCGACCGTCAGCACAACGGTAGTATTCTGTGGAACAGTGGAACAGGTTCGTTCTAACGCACCAAGCCGACGCCTGCCGCCGCCCGAAAAATCAAGAGAATGAGGAGTCAAGGACTCAAGAGGCTTGCCGCTTGCGTCTTATCTACAATGCGTTGAATCTTGCGACATGGCCGCCTGGTTCTCTCAGATACCCTAGCAAACCCTGGTAAACCTTCGTCTCCAGTCGGCGGTGCACCAATCTCCGAACCTCCAACATCTCCTCGGGTTGCTCTTTTGGGCCCTTTAGGAAAGCGACCGCACCAGCCAGAATCGGAGAAGGAGCTCATTCGCAATCACCGATACTGATCCAAGCTGCAAGGCTTGCTGCCGAAGGTGATGCCAGCCGGGCATGCACGTCGCCTACGTATGGCGGCTCCCGCCCAAGTCATCAGCCATTACGAATATCAAATCCCCCCATGGAGATGAAGAACAATGGCTGTGCGGACTTCGAAGCAGTCACGGCAGGCTAGTTTCGGGTCAGTCAGGAACAGCGGCAGGCGTCGTGGAGGACAAACTTCGGTCGTCAATGCGACTATTGAAGGCGAACCCTGTCGATCCTCCAACTAGATTTGTTCCCCGCATCCCACGTTCCATGGAAGACAGCCACTTCCTTCGTGGACGCGCCTTTGAGTTCCTTAACCGCCCAACGGCTGCTTCGCATTTGGTCGAGCCGCTCTACACTACACTACGGGCAGTTTTGAGACGAGACGAACAGAGGTCTAGCTTCCGTCTTCCCCGGCGCAACTCGCCGACCTGCTATCCCTACAAGGGCACCTTCGCGGATATATCTGCCACAGACTTCTGGTGGTTGTGTGCGCCCGTCCTGCTGTCTCTGACGACACTGTATCCTTTCTTGCACAATACTGGATGGGAGACATCGACTTCCTGTCTCGAAACCTCTTGGTGGGCTTGTGCTCGGACGCTTTGCCCAGGACCCTACCTGTCCGGCGTGCTTGATACGCAGCTCATCATGCCGCCGCGCCGCCCTTCTGCGCGGCTTCCTGCAGCTAAGCCCACGGACGTTGAGAGCAAGTCGGCAGGCTTATGCTACAGGGAACAGCCTAGCAATGCAACCTTCGAGTCAAAGTCACCCCATTCCCGATACTGCTCTGTTCGCTACTTGGTGCAGAACGGAATAGCTGCTTTGATGGCTGTCATTGTGCAGCGTCTGCCTATAGCGGCTACTTGGTAGGCAACAGGTTGAGCCCGAAGATCATTCAGTCACTTTCGGATAGAGGAGCTGAAGCCATACAAAGCAAGTGGTATTCTCATCGAGGGTAAGGATTTAACAGGATAACACCTGCGCCCCAGAACCTTACTTGGCGATCATGGCAGCCCAAG